CGGGCAGGGGGCTGTGGGAAGGCTGTCTTACAGAGCACAGCTCTGAAGGGTGAGTTTAGGTGAATGAATAACAGGGTACAGGAAAGGTGTGCTGGACAGAGGGAACAGCCTATGCAAAGAGGCGTGGATCAGGAGCGATAGCCGTGAGAGAAGCAGCAGGGTCAGAGCTGGGCTGTGGCCAGGCTGAGGGTCTTGCTTCCTCCTGAGGGCAATAGATTAGGAGGTCTGGGAGGGCTCCAGGCTGGATGGGGGTGGCCAGCAACGCCCCCAGTGGCATGTTGGGGATTGTTCTGGATTGAAATGGTGGACTCCTGTGATGGAAGGGGACTGGTGGGTGTTTGCACTAACACCCTAGTCGTGAGCAGCACATTTTGAGCAGGGTGATGAGAAATCAGATTGGGAGAGATGGGCAAACCTGGGCTGTTTGGGCAGAGATGTGTGTGCAGCCTTCCACTCGAGGGCGGTGGGAGAGGGTGCAGGAGAACCTGGAGGTCCGGGGCCCGTGCAGCGGGGTTCAGATCCTGGCTTCCCCCACTTTCACGCAGTGTGACGTCACCCCCATGCATCTCCATTTCCTCATCTGTACAGTGCGGGTAAAATAGAACCAGCTCATGGAGCAGTTAGAAGTGATGAGTAGGGTAATTCCAATCAAGTGCTCGGCATGAGCTGGGCACGTAGTGAGCGCTCAATGGAAGGCTTGTGGCCTAATTGTATGAGGATCAGACCTGTAGCGACGGCTCCTGCGGGCAGAGGAAGGTCAGTAGGAATAAATGTCAGCACAGAATAAAGAAACTTCTGAGCCGTCTCATCTATCCATGACGAAATGAGCTGGGCAGTGAGCTCCCCGTTCCAGGAGGTATTCAAGCCGAGACCATGAGATTAGGATTCTGGACGGGCTCCTGCCTGGAGCAGGTCCCTCCAAGGGAACCGTCAGGACTGAGGGTGGGTGGCGTTCAGAGCTGGTAGAATGAGTGGGTGCGGGTGTGGTCGGTCTGGCCCTGGCTTGAGTGGCTCGTGGGGTCCACGGAGAGACCCGCAGAGTAGCCCACATGCTGCTGGTAATAGCCACCAGCAGCTGTGTGCGCTGATGCATTTAGCCACCAGAGGGCAGTAGAGGCTTGTGTTAGAGACCCTCCTGGGCTGACCCTGGAGGAAGCAACTGTAGAGGGAGATGGCCATCCTGGCGTCCTCTGTTCCCCACCCTGTTCTGGCAGGGCTGTGGTTATGAGGACAACACCCCCTGCAGCAGCTGTGTGGCCCCTTGGGACTTGGGGATGTCCCTGCAGGTAATACTCAGGAGCAGTCAGACTTGAACTCTCACAGGGGACCTCCAAGACCAGCAGTGGGGCCACAGGGAAGTGGAGGCAGAGCTCCCTGGGAACCGCCATCTCTTCTAGGGGTTGATGGGCAAGGCAAACGCCTGTACCTCAGTTTCCCCTTCTGTGCCGCAATTTCCCCTTATTTACAGAACCTGAGGAAGCCCCCAACAGCTTCTGGAGACAATTTTCTAGAACTGAGGGTTTGCGTGGGGAGGACCAGGAAGGTCTGGGGTGGGGTCCAGAGAATCGTCAAGTCTGAGGGAGCGGGGCGCCGGTGAGGGAGGGGTTGGTGGCCTGGCTGGCTCGGGCCAGGCACCAGTGACCACATATCTGGAGGTGGGTGTCCTGAGCAAGCAAGTGAGATTCCTGTGGTCCCAGAAGGCAGACCCAGGGCCATGTGGGGTGAGGCCTGGAGGAGGCTGGCGACCCCAGAGGGAGACCCCAGTAGGACACTTGGCAGAACTTTCTCCAGGGGTTCACAGTGAAGAGAAAGAGCTGGGGTGTAAGCAGACAGCAGAGGGTCCCCCACAGCTATGGCTCTCCAAGGCCAGTCCTGAGGTTCTGGCCTCTGAATAAGTCAGCCGCTGGCCTCTCCCAGCTTCTGGCTCCTGAGTTGGGGATGGAGGGAACTAGGGCCTCGGGGGTCTTTGTTCCAGCCTCACGGATGTCACCTTCATGCATTTGTTCATTCAGTCCACACACTGAGTATTTATCCAGCGCTGGCTTTCCTCCACGCATCGGGGCGCAATACAGAACGGGCTGGGAGGGACTTGGGGACTCGGGAGACCTGACCCAGCAGGGGTGAGGGACAGGTGACACCGAGACATCCAGGGGAGCAAGAGTTTGCCAGTGACGCCAGGGAGAGGTCACACCAGGCTGCAGAAGCAACCTGTGCAAAGGCCTGAGGGGAGAGGCATCTTCCCTCCTAGGGCCCAGCCCAGGTGGCACCTGATGCAAAGCTCAAGGTGGAGTCCACCCTTCCACGCTCTGCTGACCCCTCCCCACCAGAGAGCTGCACAGAAGCTGGGGTGGCCCTTCTGGGGCCTCATCTTCCCACCAGTTTTGGAAAAGGGGCCAGGAAATACGAGCCTGAGACCGGCAGGGGCAGGGGAGCAGCTTTGTAAATGGCGCCATCTGTATGGCTAGCCTGGGAACAGATGGGCGACCCCCCTCCCAGCCCTTCCAGTCCTGGTGGGCGCCGCACCCACACTTACATATATCAGCACGTGGATGCGTATGGTGTGAGTGACAGCTATCCCCCCCCTCACCCCAGCACCTTAGGGTGCTGCCAGGGTCTGCCCTGGGCCTCGGGGTCCTGAGTTTTGGGAGTAGAAGGACCAGACAGGCCTCGGTCCTTGTCCAGGACAGAGTTTGAACCAAGGGAACCTGTTTGGCTTCTGCGAGGGCCTCTGGCCCTGAAACAGATGGGTGTCCCCCGTGGTGGGGCAGACACCAGCCCAGGGTGCCTGTCTGAGAAGGCACAAACCGCCATTGTTCTGGAGAAACGTGAAGCCGTGGGGGGAAATCTCCAGGATATGCAACACTAGCCCACGTGGCTTACAGAGTGAGCCTGCTTTTTCTTGTAGCTGCCACTGCTCTAGGAGCCGTGCTGCCTGTGGGCCCTTGGGCAGGTGTTTCCCGTGCCCCAGTTTCCCCGTCCATAAGATGGGGATGATAATAGAACCTATCTCAGGGGCCTGCCTGCCCTAAGAATTCAATGAGTTTGTTAATTACAGAGCTGTTGAGTGAAGGTGAGCTATTAGGATTGGCGTTGCCCGCTGGCTGTGTGACCCTGGGCAAGTGACATCACCTCTCTGAGCCTCGCTTCCCTCACCTGCAAAATAGGGTTAAAAACCCCACTGGCCCCGGGTGGCTCTCCTGTGTTAACAGCCAGTGCATAGTAGGTGCTTACTAAAGGGGTTGGATGGAGGGTGAGTGGGTGGCTGGTCCAGTGCAGCCTGTGGTCCCGGGAGATATCGGAGAGGAGCTGCCTCCACCCCTCAGCTCCTGGCCCCGCGGAGAGGGGCTGAAACCTGTATTTCCATGCCGTCTGACAAGACTCTGGCAAATAACATGTTATTCCCACCACTGGCTCGCTGTGCCCGTGCAGTTTTCACAGTAGGCGAAAGGTCCCTCTGTTATTTCCACAGCGCTCAGTCTCCCTCCGGGCTGCCGAGCTGATGGGAAGCAGGCAGGACGCCGGCAGCCATTGTCTCTCAGGGTCTGGGCTGTGTGGCTGCGGCCGGCCGGCGCTGGGGCCGCCTCCTCCCCATCATCACTGGCAGTGTCTCCGGTGATGTCCATAGCTCAGTGGGGTGTCGTTTTACTGCAGAGGATGCAGGCGCAGAGGCAGGGTGGCCCACACAGGGTGACGGGGTCGGGGGCCCGCGACCTGGGCTCGGGCCAGGCTCTGTGCCCTTGACTAGTCCCTTCGACCTCTGGGCCTCAGTTTCCCTCTCGGCAGAGAGGAGTGGAGGAGCAGAGGGCCCTCAGTGGTCACCTGGTTCCACCTCCTCCCTCCAATCAGCCATCATGTAGACGGGGAAACAGACTCAGAGGAGACAGGAATCCCAGTTTTGTGGAATTGCGTTGGTGCACCGCACCGTGGAGCAGAAACCCTGAACTTGATCTCTGGGTTGGGGCAGGTGGGGCCAGGCAGATGGGGAGTCTCAGCGGGGCCCCCAGCCCTGCACACGTGTGCACGCCCGCCATGTTCCCAGACACACACGCCCCCGTCCTGCCACATGCCCACACATATGTGTGCACATGCCCCACCCTGCTATGTTTCTACAGTGCACGCCCTCCACCCCACCATGTGCCCACACACGCACACTCACACACAAGCACACACACAAAAGTCATGGCATTTGCCACACATGCTGGGCACATGATCATCCTGTCTTGCACACCTGCCCGCCCACACAGCTCAGCTCTGTACTCAGGGGTCCTGACTACACCTGTTGGGCAGGAGCTGGCGTTTCCTCCCCAGGAAAGCCCAATTTTCATCTTTAAAACAGGCTAATGATAGTACCCGCCTCAGAAGGTTGTGAGGTTGGAGGCAAGCGCGCTCGAGAGAAGAGAACCACCCAGTAGGCCTGCCCTGAGCAACCCTCACGCTGTTGACCACAGGGCGTGGCCCCTGCCCCACCCCCACCCACCCCGTTCTGCGGCGCCTCACAACGTCTGTTCTGTGTTCCAGGGGAATGACCAGGTCCGGTTTGAGCTCACCTGCTACTCACTGGCCCCGCAGATTAAGGTAAGATATTGCTCCTCTCGGGGTGGTGGGTGCTGGGGGCTGAGGCCCCTGGGGGCAGGACACGGGGTTCTGGGGAGTTCCAGTGACAAGGAAGTGTGCGCCTGAGTCTTCCCCAGGTGGGTGGTGCCCTTCTTTCCCATGGAGAGCTACCCCCCTCACACCAGCTACGGGGGCACAGCTCTCCCCCTTTCCATGTGTCCCTTGCACGGGTGCTGTCCAGGCGTCTGGATAGGTCAGGGCCCTGGACAGAAAGACATTGCTGCCCTTCCGCCAGTGTCCCGGGCGCTCAGGGGTCTGGCTTCCTAGGTGCAGACAGGAACAGTTCCGGGACATGCCCGGCCGATTTCTGGGCTGGCTGCTCACAGTCCTCCCAGCCGCCGTCGGGGCCGCCCAGCTAAGGCCCTGGCTCCTCCGGGCTGCCTGAGCCCTGACCCCCAGCGTCTTGGATCTTTTCCTGGGACGGGACCCACCAGGATCTTGGGGAACCGCCGCCTCTGCCTATGGATGCCACGGGCATGAGAGCTGACGTCAGGACTGTCCAGCCTGTGTTCATCCTCCTTTCATTCGTTCATTCAGTATTCACCGAGTGCCCGCTAGTGCAGGCCTTGGGCCAGCCTCCAGGCACACAGAGCCCAAGACTGAACAGTACAAGTATAATTTGCACCACACATGCAAGCCCCATGGGGGATTTAAATTTTTCTAGTGGCCACATTTTTTTTAAAAAAAAGATAAAAAGCAACAGGTGATATTGCTTTAATAAGATTTTATTGAACCCTATCTATCTAAAAGGATATCATTCAACATTTCATTGATGTAAAAAAAAAAAAAGACTGAGATGTTTTACTTTTTTGTTTTTGTACTAAAACGATCCAATGTGTGCTTCCAAGTGCAGTGCATCTCAGTTGGGACCGGCCACGTTTCAGGTCTCGGGGGCCACAAGTGGCTCCTGGCTGCCATATTGGGCAGCACAGGTGTGGGTCTGAGCTCCTTTGAGGTGGCTTCAGACTGAAGGTATGGAAGATGTGCCCCCCACTTCCCAAGCCCTCAAGGAGCTCTGAGGGGTTTCCATTTTCTTTTCTCTGAAATGGACCATCTTTCTCTGTCCCTTTAACCAGCCAGCAGCTGCTTGGGGGTGAGAGTGGCCTGGAGGTGAGCGGTAATGAGCTCTAATGATCAATTTTGACCCCAAACATGGGGAGGCTAAGAAGCCCTTGGACAGTAATTGGGACCGTAGCTGCTTATTGATTTGTGGCAGGCCGGTGGGCATAGGGGGGCCAGGGTGTCATTTTCTGAGTCTTTATCTGAGGAGGCCAAGCCCAGGGACTAGGGGCAGGGATCCAAGCTGGTCTCTGGGAGCTGGGAGGAGGCCAGAGGGCCCTCCCAGTGCCCTGGTCCAGGGCTGCTCATTCAAGGGCTGAGGGGGATGACTTCTCCCACCCTACCCCACCCCCGTCAGCTCCACAGACCAGAAATCACACCAGTACCTCCATCTGGATGACACCCCACTCCCAACTGGGCTGTTGTGTTAGAGGCAGAGTCCCAGTTGGTTCTGGGGGTGAGTGGGGCTCTTTAACTTGAGGACCTGTCCCCAACACCCCCCACCCCCCAGGCTGGCGGAATGAGCTGTGTCCTCTCCCTTCCCCATCTACAGCAACTGTGGGGTGCAGAAGACAGGAGTGAGAGAAGTGGGTTAGGGGATGGCGGGTGTCTGCAGCTCTGTGGACCCAGTGGTGGAGGGTCCTGGCCTCTGATCAGGGGTGCTAGTGGGAAACTTGAGGCTTATCTAGTTCAAACCCTCTGGTCTCAGTTGGGGCCCCGCTTGGGGACACATGGCCGTTCTGCCATAGAGCTCGGGCCTCTTCAAAGCCACCCCCGGTGTGACAGGCCCCGTCCTTCCCTGCCCGCCCCCCATGGCCTGCATCCTCTCTGGGGGAGGAAAGGGATCCCCAGGTAACCACCGGTGTCTCCAGCCCCTTACCCGAGAGGCCACCTCTGCAGCTGTAGGGCCAGGAGAGGCCAGCAGCAGAGCCCCCCAGTTCTGACTCCTTGCCCCGTGTCCAGGTCATCGCTCCCTGGAGGATGCCGGAGTTCTACAACCGGTTCCAGGGCCGCAGTGACCTGATGGAGTATGCGAAGGTAAGGCCGAGCCCGCAGTGCCTCCCAGCCCTCGCCTACCGCCCTTGGGACACAGCCCTCCTTGGGGGCTGTCCGGGCTAGCAGCCATGCCTGGGGGGTGGAACCTCTGTCCTGGCTGCCCCCACCCCACTCCCCCCCCCCGACCGTGGCACCTGTCTCCTGGGCCTCTCCAAGGGCAGTCCCAGTCCACCTCAGCCAGAGGGCTCCGGGCCCCCTCTGCCTGCCGTTCTCTCGCTGCCTCTGCTATGTGTGTCACTCAGGGGAGGGCCTGGGTATGAGCAGTCGTTTTCTGCCCCTCAATTACCTGGCTGCTAATTGTCCCCAGTGCTTTCCCAGGAGCAGGTAGGCGCTCTGAGGGGCAGTGGCCAACAAAACCTTGTGTTGAGCCGGCCCTTTTGAAGTACAAGTTGCAATAAAACATATTAGAAGTTTTGCCTCAAGACCCTTAGCCTCTCCCCAGGGTCCCTTTCTTTTTAGCGACTCGATGGCAGCCCTTGACAAACAGCCTCAATCAATCAGACGGGGGAAAGCAACTCAGAGCACACACCAGAAAATTGCTCAGGTTTTTAAATAGCAGTCACCAGGGCTGGCTGTGAGCTCTAGCTGCAGCCAAGGTGCCGCATGGCGGGGGACACGGCGGGGACGCAGCCCTGCCCAGCCGCCAGCATCCCATTAAGACCTGGAGTGCTCGGAGGAAAGATCTCTTCTACCATCTGTTGTTTTATTATTAAGGGGGGAGTTTACAAGAGCAAGCCCATATGTTGCCAAACAAATTGTCAAATAGCAGAGCTATTAAGAGAAGGGGGTTGGCGAGGCTATTTCTCTCCCCCCCACCCCACCCCTTCGTTTCCCTGATCATACAGAATATAGAGCCCGTTTCATCTTGAAGAAGAATGAATTGGAACCCCCGCCCTGTCGACATTCTCACGCCTGCAGCCGAGGTTCAAGGGAGGGCCAGGGCTGACCCAAATGTTGCCCTTCGTATCTGTTAAACTCCCAAACAAAGCTGCTGCTGGTCTACCCAGAAAAGATGAATTTCAGGAGTGTTGTCCGTCCTTCCCTGATTTCGGGGAGAAGGCACGTCACTCAGATTCTATCCCGAATAACCTTTTGAACAGGAAAGTTTGCCAGGGACAGACCAGTCTGGGTCCCTCAGCCATTGCCCTCCCTCGGAGGCTGGTATCAGGCTTGATCCTGGTAATCAGCACTTTCTGGAGTGAGGCGGTGTTTCTGCACCCAGGAAATGACCAGAATAACTGAGCAGCAGCTAGGCTTTGTCCAAAATTCAGAGCCAGGCAGGATCTAATTCAGCTGAGACAAAAATCAATGGGGCTTTGAAAAGCCCTGCTTTCAAGACCCGCACGTTGACAAGGCCAGAAGGTACTGTAGGAGCCTCATCAAAAACAAGCATTCACTTCATTTTCCATCTCCCCCTAAGTCCACCGTCCAAGTGAAAAATGCTCAGAATCTCCCTACCCTTCTCATTGGCCTTATACTTAACATTTTTTTTTTTAAAGCCAGCGTGTAAGATATGGCGTTAGAAAGCAGGGCAGTGTCCCGTGTACACGTGGAAGATAGTTTTATTTCTTGTACTCAATCACAATGCAGAGTTTTCCATTTGGGGTCGGGGATGGGGACCTCAGGACAGAGAGGGGAGGGGGACACAAAAATCTCTTAGGTCAGGGACTGTCACTATTTTTGGCTTTTGGGTGTAACTCCCTGCTGAGGGGGGCTGCCCGTCCTGATTTTTGCTTCTCCCCTTCCTTTCTCCTCTTCTGGTTCTGCCAGAGGCCCAGTGGGAAAGAGAAGGCAAGGGTGTTTCCAACCCCCCATGTCTCCCCAAACAAAGGCTCCAGGACCAGCCACTGGTTTCTTAGCCCAGCTGCCAAATGAGGAGGAAGAGGGTGCATGGACCCCCAGTCTGCACAGAGCCCTGGTCCCCACGCTGGGCCCCCTTGACCTGGAGAGAGCACAGGGCGAGTGTATGGATTTGACTGTGGGCAACTTTGGGGAGACTAGTGGCCTCCCAACATAGAGCAGCCTCCAAATGAGGTGTTCCTATTTGCCCATGTGGTTTAAATTAAAGAACACACAAATTCTAGACTGGATGTGGGCTGTTTCCTAGCGAAACCCAAGGGTTTTAGCCTAATTTATTTTGAATTTTAAAGTGCTGATGAAGGAAACACAGCAGCTCCCTCGTAGGAATGAGCTGAGCCGGGGAGAAGCCCCATCAGGACAGATGGGGGATGACGCCAGTGGGGCCAGGACCTCCGAGGTTCTGGGACCCACCAAGACTCCGAAAAGGGGGCTTGGGGGGCTGTGTCCCATCTTGCTGGCTAAAAGGGGGCAGGGTGGGCCTCTGAGCTGCCTTCAGTGCTGGGGAAGGGGGAGCAGGATATAACGCATGTGCTGGATCCCAACCAGGTGTCAGCCGGGGGTGGGGGGTTGTTCGGGGGGTCGCCTAGGGAACCAGCCTGGTCTTTAATCCGAAAGGCTGAGTAAGGTGGGCCTTCAAAGTGGCCGCCAACAGCTTTTCAGGCCCAGCATCTCAGTGGGGATGGGTTTTCTCCTTGAACAATGGATTGGGCCATTTGGGAAGCAAAACACAATCAGGACCAATAGGGAGGATGGAGGGTCTCTCTTGGGTTGTTCCTTTTCAGGGCTGCAGAGATGCGTGTGGCCATTGTGCCAGGCAGGGGAGAGGCCACATATCGTAAATAAATGCCATGAGCTAGAAGCTCTCACAGGCATCCCTCCTGTCCTCGGGTCAACATTAAGCCCCCATGTGGGCACATGTGCCTTGATTGAAATCCACAGGGGAGGTTCGGTCCATTCCAGCTCATAGGGTCGCCGTGAGGGTCAGTGAGTGGTGCTCGGAGACTCTAAGTGCTTCAGGGGCTCTTGAAGTATAGGCTCAGAATCTTCTGGAAGGAATCTCCAAGATCAGTATCACTCCACATCTCAGGTCTCGTAGTTTCTGCATGGGCATGTCCAGCAATGGGACCCTCACAGCCTCCCTGGGCAGCACAGAGGAGGAGAAAGAGACGGGATGGTCCAGGGTCTTGCCTGCACGGGGGCTAGAGTTGGGGACTATCTGCAACCTTGAAAGCTAATCAAGGCTGCTGGCCCTGGCCCTCGTGTCTGCTTCAGGCTGCCTCACGCCTGCTCTGTGTCTCCTTACCTGCAGCAACATGGAATTCCCATCCCAGTCACCCCCAAGAACCCATGGAGCATGGACGAGAACCTCATGCACATCAGGTAAGACGTGTCCACAGTTCTGCCTGACATCGGTGAGTAGCTACTTGCTGCGCTGAGCCAGGGCGTGGTGGTCCCTGCCTTCATGCAGGGGAGGCCTTGGGGAGGACGGACCACATCATACCCAACTTATTCACAGCTCTCATCGCAGCTCTACTGAGTGCCAGGGGCAGATGACGGTCACCCGGCCTTGGCTGGGGTATCAGGGAGGGCTTCTGTGAGGAAGTGTCATTTGAGGTTAAAACCTCAAGGATGAGGAGTGACCAGCCAGGGCACAGGGAAGAGCACTTAAAGCAGAGGGAACAGCATGTGCGAAGGCCCTCCAGATGTGCAGCTCTGGGGCTGTGCCCCAGAAGGCATCAGAGAAATGTCCCCCGGCTCTTCCTTGCAACCTGCAGCTCCCCTAGCCAACTGGTAGGTCCAGAATGTTCCAGGCAGGGTTGGCAGCTGTTGCTTTGGCAGAGAGAAAACGGCAGACTAGACTGTGTTGGGGGGTGAGGGGAGCAAGGCACAGCTGTGTCTCTCTTCCCGTCCCCTACTAACCCCTGTCTCCCCTTTCCCTCTGCAGCTATGAGGCTGGAATCCTGGAGAACCCCAAGGTAATTTCTGTTTCCTCCTCCGAGCCGGCCACCTTTGGTGGTAGCTGCTCTGCGCCCAGGCTGTCCGATGTGTTTGTAGCCTAATTTGATGTGTTTGTAGCCTAATTTGAAATTTCACGGGGGGCGGGCGTGGTGCTAGGGCCGAGCCCTGCCTGTACCCTGACCCTCCCCACTGGGCCCCCCGCTGCCTGCCCACTCCATGCTGCTGCTGCATTTAAAAAACCCACCCACCCCCCCTTCCCTGTGCTCTTTTTCTAATTGCTGCTGGGATGAATAGGGGAAGGAAATATTTCAGAGCAGCAGAGAGAGAGTGTGTGATTGTGAGACAATAAAGAAGCAATTAGGCAGATGAGACACTTGTGGGAGGGCCCAGCCTGTGCCCACCAGCTCTCAGGCCGCTGCCTCAATTGGGGTTGGGGGGGCGGGGCACAGATTAGAGCCTCAGGACCTACTTGTCTGGGTTTTTGCCCCACGCCTGCAAGGCAGGCCACCCAGCACAGCCTCCTGGTCTGGGCCTCGGCGGTTTTTGAAGTTTAGGGTTTCTCTCCCCGGGGGGTTTCTCTTTGTATCTCCCACTGCCCACCGTGGGAGACTGGGGAGGCAGGGTGAAATCTATCCTGGGAAGAGAAAAATCTCTTTGTCCCTGAGGGAATGTGTCTCCGTGTCCTGGCTCAGCCCCACACCCGAGTGACTGGTTTGGGGGTGGGATGGGCTGCTTGTCTGACTTTAGGGGAGAAGCGTGCTGGGGGGTGGGTGCTGGGCAGCTGGGCCTGGGGGTTTCAGAAGGCCAGCTGGAGGGGAGGGGGGTGCCCAGGTGGTTTGGGTGAGGGTGGGAGAGCTGGAGCCTTGCCACGGGTCTGGGGCTGGCTCCTCGCGGGGACCAGGCCTCTTGGTCGGTGTTGGTGATAATATCACACGTGCCAGTGGCTGTTTTTGGGGCCAGGCCCGAGTTCAGTATTTTTCCCGGCTTCCTTTCCTTGGCTCTTGGCTGTGAAAGTCCTCGTTTTATGGGTGAGGAAACGGACGCCTGGCAAGGGAGTAGGGCTGGTGCCCAGGTTACCCCATCGCAGGAGCTATCCCTCTGGCCTCTGTGGTCCCCCCCACTGTCCACGGCCCCCCACCCCCACCCCTTTCACCCCCTCAGTCCAACTGTGTCACTCAAGACAGCCGGCACCCTTGCCCCCTGGGGACTGATGGCCCCATGAGGCTGCTGCCTGCTGGCCACAGGTTTTTCCAGTTCATGCTCTGCTGACCCCAAGACACTAAGGCCAACCACCCCTAATTAGCTAGTCACTCAGCACCAAGGGGGGTGGGAGAGGCTAAGCAGAAGCACAGCAGCTTCAAGGTGGGGTGTTCTCAGGCCTGCAGGGCCCAAGCATGCCGGGAAACCACTCCCCCATCCCTCTCCAAGTAGCCTATGGGTTCTCACCTCAGGACTGGGGGAGCAGAGCCGAGGCCAGAGAGGAAGTCACCCCTTGGCAGGGCTGGGGCACAGGTCCCTGTGTAACCGTGGCAGGTCCGCTGCCCTGTCAGGCCTCCCGTCTAATGAGGGAAATGGGTGAATAAGTAAAGGCTAGAGAGCGCCTTTCTAAGGATTCTGCCATCCGATGAAGGCGGGAAGGTTAGTGCTTGGGTCCCAGAGATTGGAAACCTGGGTCTGAGTCCTGTCTTTGCTTCTATTGCTCTGCAACCGTGGGCAAGTTACCCAACCTCTCTGAGCCTCCGATTCCTCATGCACACAGTGGGAAACCACAGCACCTCCCTCTTGGGTCATTGAAAGCCACTAGGCCTGACCGTGGCACAGGGCAAGGCCTCCATCATAGAGCCGGGGTCCTGCCCTTCCTCCTCAGGCCTGCTAAGAATCTTTGGGAGGAAGGGGCCAAGGTCTCCTCTCATCCTGCTGGGCTGGGAGCGAGTCTGGGCGAAAACATAATTTCCACTAAGGATTGTGGGTCTAGCCACTCTTTGCCAGCCTGCCCTCCGCAGGGCGGGGGGGCCTGTGGCAACTAGGAGATCCCCCAGGCTAAGCTCAGGGTCCTCCCTTGCATCTCTGGATCTCGTGTGCTGGGAGCGCAGTTGTCCTCTGATCCCAGGAGCGAGGGGGCAGCAGCTAGGGTCCAAGAGAAATGCTGAGCCCTGAGCCGCCCAGCCCCCAGAGGAACAGGGGACACGGAGCTTAAGGGAACCAAGCCTCCTCCCCCTCCCAAAAAAGCCCCAGACCTGCCGAAGGGAGGGTTTGAAGGCAGATGGCGGAGCCATTTTCTGCCTCCGTGAGGGCTGATTGAAGGGCAATGAGGCAGCTAATGCGAAGAAAGATAGAAATTTACTTGCTTTAAGTTCATAGGGACCACAGTGAAAGAGTTCATTCAGTGCCGGCCGCCATATCTGATGGATGAATAAACCATTTGCAGCATTGATCAATGCCTCTACATCATGGCTCAGTTCATGGGCCATTTGCTTCCAATTTCTCCTCCTCGGCCTGTTTCATGCTTTCTTTCGCCCTCTCCCCCCCACCCAGCCTCTCTCTCTCTCTCTCTCTCTCTCTCTCTCTCTCTCTCTTCCCTCTCTTCCCTCTCTTCCCTCTCTTCCCTCCCTTCCTAACACCCCTGCCAGAAGACATTGGAAGTGAGCCCTCCTGCAGGGATGGATAAATAGATGGTATTGATACTCAACAAACTATTTGTCATTTGAACTGGGCTCTTAGTGGGGAAGAGTAAAAAAAGACAGGCTCCAGCCACCTTGGAATGAAAAGCAAATGTCACTTTATTTCTATTTAGTTATCTTATGTAATCGGCGCTGTCTGGGTATCGGAAGCCGCCAACAGCTGCCGCCTTGTGCTGGGATGCTGTCCTGCGGGGTCTCACGCCTCCTCTCTTCTTCCAGATGCAAACATTCTCATCCCATTTGGGGCTCATTAGGAAGTATGGAAAAAGAAAAGTGACAAGCACCAGATTGAGAACAGAGGGTCATACACAGCGCAGGTGGGGGTGGGAGGGAGGCCGGCTTGGGTGGAGGGCCTCAGCTCTGGCACCTAGTTTGAGCTCAGCCTGAGCTGAGGAACCCAGTGAGGAGCCCCAGGCAGGTGGGGAGGGGGCTGCAAAGTCATGTCGGTCATCCAGCGGTCCCAAGCCCAGGTTCGCTTTGCCTTTTGGCTGAGGATGGCCCTAGGGCCGTGTGTGCCCAGAGGATGCGGTGGTTAGCAGGGCTCAGTGGGGCTGGAGAGCCGGGCATGTCTCTGAAACCCCCCGATGCCCGCCCCACGGCTAATGCTGGCTGTCTCTGGCCACATTGTGCTGTGTTGGTCCTCAGGTTATTAAAGCGACAGGGCATCCGGAGTCCCCAGGACTGGCTCCCGTGCTGGTGGGGTCGGGCAGCGTGATTTGAACCAGCTGCTTCTTTGTCCTTGGTTTTCTATCTGGTCCATGAAAGCATAGACTGGGGGTCCTCCTTAAGGACCCTCCTCCTCCTTGGGTCTGTCTTTGAGGTTGATTCTGGGTCCTTGTTCCCACCCCACAAACAGAAACAGAGGAAGGGATGTGGCTGGCCCCAAGTCACGGAGCACTTCGGAGGTGCAGGGGGGCTCCAACGCAGCCCCTGTCTGAGCTCAGCAGGAGAACCAGAAGCACCAACAGTCCCTGTGTGCCCAGGACTGAGGGCTTTTCCAGGGTGCAGGGATGGGACAGTCGTTCACCCTCGCATCCAGCCAAAAGGCAAAGTGACCGGAGGTGAGGGACCCAAGGCACTTCTGACGGCCCTCCTGTCCCGGAGTGGGGCACTCCCAGGAGTCCACTCCAGCTGCCCTTCCCTCCCGCACCAGCCTCCCTGGCGTTTTTGTGGTGATTTTCATGTCCATGAAGAACTGTCTTTACACTGACATTGTAAGAGAGTCAACAGCAGGTATCATTTCCTCCACTTTACAGATGAGGAATTGAGGCTCAAGAATGTGAAGCCCGCTGCCCAAGTCCCTGCAGCCTGAGGTCTTGACTCCTCACTTCGGGGTATTTTCCACGACTCTGAAATCCAGCACATTTTTGTTGAGGGCCTCGTGGGTCCCCTGCCCTGTGCCCAGTGGTCCATGCCCGCACAGAACTCTGGGCTGCAGCTACAGCCCCTCCCCCTCGGCCTCTATTTCTTCATCTGTAGATGGGGTAACAGCACTTGACCTTCTTACCAAACAGGGCTGCTGAGAATGGAAGAGAAACTGCAGATGGAAAGTGGCACGTGAATGTTTGCAGGGTTTTGAAAGCAAAGGTTTAGGGACTGCGCATCCCAGGATGTCAGCAGGTGGACAACAGCTGGGCCTGGGGTGTCTATAGGGGGGGGCCCTTGAGCAGTCAGGCCCAAGAGGCCCTGTCCCCACTGTGGCAAGGGTCCAAGCCGCAGCCTAGTGGGGTGGGGGCTGAAAAGGCGGGCAGGAGCTTGGAGAGTTCCAGGCAGTCAGCCGCCCCTCCACCGCTGCATCCAGATGAGAGGCCCATTTTCCAACACGCCCGAGAAAAAAATATACATAAAGGTTGATGTGTTTTCAAATGGGTTTTTGCTTTGCGCTTCCCTTTTCTCCCTGTGAGTATTAACCCTGGGGACCCCGAGGACGGCTCGGCTTGCTGGAGCACCTGCTGGGGTCACGCGTAGTCATTAGCTTTGCGGTCAGTGCAGAATAAACCCCAATCCTGGGTGTCTGCGAGCGCGTGCGTGCCCGCTCCCGGGAAGCCCTCCAAATGCTGCTGCTGGCGCCTCTCTGCCTCCAAAGTCGCACTTTTCCTGCCTGACTTGTTTCTCTCCTGCTATTCTACCTCCAGCTGTGGGGGCGTCAAAGAAAAAGATGAGATCAAGTTGAGGGGAAAAATTGTCTGATTTCTTGAGCCCTTTGTTTCCCAGGCCCCTGGCAAGTGGGGCTGGCAACGGGCTGGGGGCTGAGAGGCCTGCTGCACTGTGCCAGCAGCCCCCCAGTTCTGCAAAGGGGTGCACATCTCCGCAGGAGGTGCAGAGCAGGGTGTCCAGGGACTGGCATGGCCCCGCTTGGCTCTGAGCACCTCGCCTCCCTCCTCTTTCTGTCTTTTGTCAGAACCAAGCGCCTCCAGGCCTCTACACAAAGACCCAGGACCCGAGCAAAGCCCCCAACGCCCCTGACACCCTGGAGATCGAGTTCAAGAAAGGTAGGTGCCCACCCGTCTGGACTCGAGGCAGTGAACTCTTGGTGCCCCAACTCCTTTCTCCTCCTTGCCTAGAAGCCTGGGCACGAGCCCTCTGCGTTCCTCTTGCATTTCTGGAGGCCAGAGTTCAGGCAGGGGCTCCACGGGTTCCCAACCACACCCTCCCCAGGTAGCACGACCCATGGCAGCCTCCAGGCTTGGGAGGAAGGCACCCTCGACTGCCGTCCACCAGTTCACGGGCACCAGGCGAGGAGTGAGAGCATTTCAGTCCAAGCGACTGCTTGCCAGCTGCTTTGGCACTTTGAGGAAGTCATTCAGTTTGCCTGGGCCTCAGGTTTCTCACCTATAAACTGGGATAAAAGAGCCCCTGTTCCCTCATGGTTTCATGGTGTAGCATGAGGTCTACATGGGAAGTGTTGGCCCTGGCACCAGGAAGTACTCAGTAAATGGCGAGACTTAGAGAGTTGGCCTCGGGGGCCCCTCTGACCCCACAGCTAAAGCCTCAGTAGTCAGTCCTCAACTACTTGACATTGCACGCCCCCCACCCCCCACCTGGGGTTCAAATGAGGAGAGCAGGACCAGGCTCAGGGTGGGAGAGGACAGGACCTTTCCAGGAGGCTGCAGAAACCAGGGAGGCTTCCTGGAAGACGTGGTGCTGGGCGTGAGGGCGTGGAGGCTGTTCATACTTGAATGACCCGCCTCTTCCCAGCCTTTCCCGGCTCCTTGACCGAGACAGTGGACATTTTCATCACTCCCCATCTGTTCAAACCCTTGAATTTCACGGCACTTGGGGACCTAAGTGTCCTTGGTCTCAGGTCCCTAAAGGCAGCTATAGCGCTAAGTCCCTCTGGTGCTCACTCTGTCTGACCCAGGTCTGGTTGATGGGCATGTGGCCTGTTCGGGTATCATCTCTGAGAAGATGGTGGGCCAGACCCGGGCAGCTCCGTCCGAAGGTCCCCCAGGAGCCTGGGAGAGCAGTGAGGGGTGGGAGGTGGGCAGGGGGCAGTGGCAGGTCCTGGACACAGGCTCTGGCCGCCTTTGGTCCAGGGATAGGGTGGCCCCGAGGCTGAGCCAGAGAAGAAACGTGATCCATTTTAATGATTTCAGGACTGTCTGGAAAAAAAAAATAGAGGAACCCTCCCCGACTACTCTCCATTCATCCTCTAGTTAATTTATTTGAAGTTTTAATCTAATTATTAACTATTTTAAAGGCTAAGAGGCTTTCTGCGCCAGCAGCACCAACAATGTCAGCCCCTTTCTGGGGCAGGCCCCGTCCAAGGCCGGGAGAAGGAGGCAATAATAGGACGGGGGAGGGAGGGAAAGGGAGGGGAGAGGCAGGGGGTGGCAAGAGGGGCTTAAGGTTCATTATTGGGCAGACTTACATTTAATAGCAATTTACAACCAAGTTATAAAACCCCTGGAAATGGGGGTTAAGAATGAGGAGGCTGACAGCGCCTTGAGCAAAGCCCCTCCAAGCGGCGCCTGGCTAATAAAGACTCGAAAGCCGCTATTGAGCCCTGATTGGCACCCGATCGCAGGCTCCATGGTAATGAGCTGGGCAGATGGGTGGGGGATTAGCCGCCAACTTTGAACAGCTTTTCTTTGTCACTGTTACAGCTCTCTTGTTAGTCCCCTAATACATTTATTGCTCATTTCACACCGCTCGAGAAAGTGCCCCTTGCTATTCAAAGTCAACCCCGAACCCACCCACTGCCCCCCCCACCCTCCCCTTGACTCGGCCCTTCCCTCCCCGAGCGGCCGCCTCCCTCCTGCCCTCCTGCCACCCCAGACCCGACTTCTCAGAATTCATGGAGCGGGCACCATTTCACCCCCATTAATCAGATGGCTGCGTGCGGGTCTGGGGTGCAGGGTCGGGGGCACGGGGGTCCGCCTGACAGACGTGGCAGGGGGCTGTGTGTGAGTGAGTGAGTGTGTGTATGTGTGTGTGTGTGTGTGTGTGAGCTCAGCCGCACCTCCGCCGGGCGGGCCCCCGGGTAACTGGTGGGACAGAAGGTGCTCCCGGCATAAGACAATGGTGGAGCGTGAAATTCAATTAGTTCAGGGCCTGGTTCCAATTTCACAGCCCCTAAATGCAAAAGGGGCAAAGAGAATAGGAAGGGTGGGGGCGAGCGTTTTTATTGCATTTTCCCTTTCATTCTGGGGGGCTTTCTCGCCCCTTCTCTCCCCCCAGCAGGCCTCAACCTGCACAGGGCTTTTCAGGGACTCATTTGGAGTCCATATCTGTCACATCCATTTAAGGCGTTGCGGGTGGAGGGAGAGGGTGGGGTGGCAGGCTCAGGCTTCTCCGCTGAGCTCCGGCCCACAGGCCCACCGCCCTCTCCTCCCACCCCTAGGGGTCCCCGTGAAGGTGACCAACGTCACGGACGGCACTGCCCACCGCACGTCCATGGAGCTCTTCGTGTACCTGAATGAAATCGGGTGAGTGCCTCAGCCCTGCCTGCCTCCTAGGAAACCACTGTCTCCAGTAGTCACTGATCCGGCCCATTGCAGCTGATGGTCACGCCCGAGGCCTAGCAGCCGGGAGTACAGGTCTGTGTCCCACAGGCAGCCGTGGCACAATCCCACAGGTGTGATGTCTCCTGGTTTGCTAGGAGAGGCCCGGGGGCCCTCAGCCCTGGACGGTAACAACCCCAGAGGGTCTACAGACCCCTAGGGACGGCTCGGCTGGGGCTTCCAAGCTCTCGGCGGATCTGAGACCAGGATAGAAAGAAAGAGGGGCAGTGGTTAGGGCTGGTGCCATGAAAGGCCCCATGACGGAGGTGATGGAAGCTGCAAATTAAACTCACTGTGTGACCCAAGCAATCCGTCCCCAGCCTGGGCCTTAGTTTCCCCACCTGTACAATGGGTGGTTGGACCAGGTGACCTGGCTCAGATGTCCTCTTAAGTCTTGGATCCTGAGATGGTGCCTGATGTTCTGCATGTGGCTCTGGGGTGGGCACAGCTCAGATGTGCCCAAACTGTGGCAGCCGGGTGGGTGACATCTGACACCAAGCCTGTGGCAGCACCTGACTCCAAGTGACCTGTCCTCTCCACAGGGCCAAGCATGGCGTGGGCCGCATTGATATTGTGGAGAACCGCTTCATTGGGATGAAGTCCCGAGGTGAGTCTGCTCACCACCCCTCGGGGCGTGCTGGCTCCCAGAACCCCCTAAGGTCCCCGTGCCATTCGGCGTTGCGACACCGGCGCTACATCAGCGACTTTGGGCAAGTCTTTTCACCCCACCAGACTCAGTTTCCCTCCTGTGAGGTGGGTATGGGCGGCCCTTTGCCACTGGCTTCCAAGAGCGTTTGTGAGAAGAGCTATCCCGAGGGCCGGGAGGAGCCTGGGGGTCCAGGAGAAGCTCTGAGGAGAGAGACAGTCAGGCTCCCCTGTGCCCTGGGAGGGTCGGCCAGGTTCAGTGGCAGACTGTGCCGGGCCGATTTCGTGGTCATGGTCATTGAGGCTGCGCTGAGGAGGCAGGCTGGCCTGGCAGGGGGAATCCTGCCAGGGGTGGGTGCTAGGGGCTGCGCTGTGAACGGCCAGGGCCTGAGGGTCTGTCCCAGGGTCAGGCATGGCTCAGGGGGGTGGGGGGCTTTTTCTAGAAATGGGCAGGACTCTGCCTGGGCGTAGAAGGGCTGCCCCCTTGGCTAGGCTGCCCGGCTCATATCCTCCTCTGGCTGGGCCAGGAGGGAGGAGAGGTTGGTGCCCAGGCAAGTGCCTCTGTCTTTTCTTAGTAACAGAGCCCTGGGATTCCCTTTGTCACTCACTCTTAACCACACTCTCCCCTCGAGGACTCAGTTTCCCCGTCTGCACCAGGGGATCTCAGCTCCCTGTGGTTCTGTGATAAAGCAATGCCACGTGGCGAGCTCTAAGAGGGAGGGGGCAAGCTTTCAGCAGCTAGAGCCCCTAAAGAGGGCACTTGAAGTTTTAAATACTGGAGGTGGGGTTGAGGCCCCCTGTTTGGCGGGTTGTTCAGATCACTTTGCTTAGGGTCAATTTACAAAGATAACACAACTAACCAGGCCAAGGAATAGTCCTTCAGGGTATTTTCACTAAGATTCCAAAATCCAAAGAGCCGGTGGCCAGGTTTCAGCGTTTTTGGAAAAGGATGCTGGTGTGGGAGGCAAGATGCTGGCGTTCTCGCCCCGGGTTTGCCCTGCCTCGCCAGTGACCTTGGGCTTAGCGTCTCTGAGCCTCGGTTTCCCCAGGTGTAATGTACAGTAGTAGGTGTGGGGGAGGGAGTTCCTTCAGGCTCTGACCTGTTTGGGTTTTTCTCAGAAGGGGTGGGGAGAAGGGAGTGGAAGCAGCCTCTTGGCCTCTTTCATGTGGTTCTTCTCGGCGCAGCTATTCTGGAAACAACCTAATTGAAACTCTGGGAAAGGCCTTCTCCAGAGAACAATATTACTAATTAGCTGCTCCTTTTTATCCTCTCTTACCTTTGTCTCTTCCCTATGTTAACATCTGATTAAATGTCCCTTTGTCTTAGTCTGCCCTTGGGAGCCAGCACAATGTAAAGCGTCCAAAGCAGACCTGGGAGGGACCTTGGGGAGCCAGAGACCAGCACCCTCCTTTCACAGACTGGGAAACCAAAGCTCAAAGTCACAGGCACGTTGGTGGCAGGACCAGGACTGGCTCCTAGACCCAGAGAGGATTAGAGCTTAAGTTTGGAGTGGGGCTGGTCCAGGTCGAACCTGTGTGTAATAACAGGAACTGGTGCAGTGGAGGTGCCCCATAAATAGCTGTGGCCCCAGGGGGATGCTGAAAGGACAAAGGCAGCCCGCGCCCTCTGGGGGCCGTCAGTGAGGCCCAGAGGTGTCCACCTTGGCACTTATTGTCATGTCCCTCCCATGCCCATGGCAGGCATCACTAATTGATTGTGGATGTGTCTCAGTGCTGCAGGCGATTAGGAGTAGCATTTATGGTGAAAATGAATTGCCTTCCCTTACTGGAAAGATAAGGGCTGGCCTTAGGTTGCTTTGCGAAGTGGCATCCTGCTAGGTGGGGAGAGCCAAGCAAACTTGAACTGAAGGAGATAGCCATAAGGACCTGAACTGAGCTATTCTGGGAAGACATCCTGGAGGCGGCAGAAGTACAGGCTTCGACTGGTAGAATGTGGCATAGAGACGGTGGCGTGGGAGCTTTCTGGGGAAAGGGGGTGGTAGAAAAAGGCAGGAGGCACCCAGGTGGCTGCTTGGGTGGTGGGTCAGGTCTGATAGGGGCCGAGCCCCTGGAGACCTGGGGAGACGCACTGAAGGGCTGGTGGCAAGGGTGCAGCTTTGGTGCCAGACTCGAGTCCCCGTCCCGGCTCCATCACCATTGGGAAAGCAACCTGGTCTCTGAGCGTCAGCTTCTTTGCTGTGAAACGGGCTGTGTGCAGGTCACATACAGAAGCTCTTGGCCCGCAGTTGGCGCTGTGGGTTGGGGGGTGAGAGAAGAAAATCGCTTCCTAATTTTAGGGTGATATCTTGTTTTTACTTCTCCACTCCCGATAATTCATAGTGAGAAAGAAAAGAGGGGGACAATACGTCGGGGCATTATGAATTTCCCCATGACGAGGTTTTTATTAAGCCTACAGTAATGGGAGAAGCTGTTAATTGCCAATTATATTGAGGCCAGAACAGGAAGATGCTATTGTCCGTATCTCATTGTACGAAGGAATATGTCATTTGTATTGATTTTACAAAGCCCATAATTGAAACTTGTTAAGGGCTTGTTTTTTTTTCAGCACGGGGGGGGGTGGGGGGTCGGTTAGGGAGTTGGACAGTGCTAGTGCCCTGGGTCTGGGGTGGCCGGCTCAGTGACACTAGGGGCCACGGGGTCAGAGGGGCAGGGGCTGGGGAACCTGCAGATGGAGTAGCTTTCGCTGTATTGTGGCTGTTCGCATTGTCATTATCACATTATCTTTTTAACTCTGGAGGGGGGCTAATTAAGTGAAGTAAATGAAATCAGTGGGGAAGAAGGGGGGTGCGAGGCAGGCAGGAGGAACGCAGAGAAGGACCCAGCCCGCGTCCTCCGCTCACCTTCGCTCCTCTCCTCCCAGCCCTGCCTCTCAGGACTCACCTCTGCCTGCCGCCACCTCTTCCTCCACTGACTCCCCCCTCCTCTTCCTCACTGCCTGCTCTCTCTTCTTCCTCTACTCTCCCTTCCACTTTCTTTCTTCTTCCCTCCACCGTTCCCATCTCTCTCCCACTCTCCCCTCTTCTCTCACTTCCTCCTTACGTCTCTACTTTCTAGCTAAGAAGGAACAGGGGCTGCCTGCCCATTTACCCACCTGCCCACCCACCAGAGGCTTTGCACAGATGGAACCTTCCAGATGAAAAGTGGAGGGAGACCTGTATAGCAAAGGCATTCATTCTCACTCCCAGAGGCCTGGGGTAGCCAGGGTCAGAGGCCCACCCTGATTCCCACGGTGGGGCCTGCGGGGCACCAGGAGCATAGGAGATAGAGTCCCACCATCACTTGCCTCCCCATCACCATGGCAACTGCCTCTCTCCTTGGCCCTGGTACCTAACAGGGGAGCCACTGGGCTCCAGCCAACCTCCCTTCCCCTGGCCTTTCCAAATCCTTCCCTCTGGACACTGCTTTCCCAAAGGACCAGGGCCTCTGGTCCAGGTGCCCTCCCCCCACCCCCACCCCATGACCCCTGGCTGAGTTGGCAGAACTTACTCAATTCTGCCAAATTGCTCAATCCAGGCTAACCTCCCAGCCTCGGGAACACATGAGAAGAATTTCAGTGGCAGCAGCTGGTGTGGTCCCCACCGCTTCCTGTTTGGTCCCCTCTCCCCCACCCCTGCCCCCCCAACTCCTTGCCCTTCGTCCCCACCCCTCCCCTTGGCAGTAATTATGGTGTGATTGAAGCTGCTCCACGGAGAACTGCTGACACCTCTGTCTTTTTCCTGTAAACACCGGGCAATGAAAATAGACACTTGGAGCCGCTGTGCGTGTCACTCCGAAGATGTCTGTCGTCTCTTCCACAGCGACACCGAGACTCAGCTGTCATTTCCTCCTTTTTGCGCAGTAGTTTGTATGCCGACTGTCAAAAGCTCCAAATCCCTAGTCTTTTAGCATCAGGTTTCTGTCACTGTTTTTTTTTTTAAGTCATTTTTTTTTCCAAGAAGAAATACACAGAAATCTTCTACCCCCTACCCCTGTGGAGAGGAGAGGGAAGATCTTTAAAATGCACACACACACACACACACACACACACACACACACACACACACGACAGCAGCAACCTGAAAACAAGCTTTTTGATCAGACACAATTAACTTTAACACCTTCTAAGAAAAGGAGCAGGAATATTAATGGTGCTGGTGTGTTTTATGGCTGCAGCTTTTCTTCTTGGCCCATATCTCTTCCTACGGCTGCCTCCTCGGAGGGTTGACAGCCACCAAGCTGGTTCCGGGCTGGGGGGCTGCTGGCTATGCCTACCAGGCATTCTGCTCTGCTCCTCAGGAACTGCTATGAGGTGTCAGCAGCGGGGGGCCCTTGGGCAAGTCGTAGCCTTTCCTCGCTGGAAAGTATAGACATCTTCCTCAAACCCTGCACACCACCAGTGCTGTTCCCTCTCTGGACTATTGGGAGGTCATGCTGGGGAGTTGGCTACAGTGTTCTAGAGACAAAACCATCAGTCTGCATCTGCACTGTGGGGACAGTGAGTCTGGGTGCTTACCTTCAGGAAGGTGGAAGTTAGAAGGAAGAGCAGCAGACGATTGCAATCGTCTCGTTTTCCAGACAGGCTGCCTGGGGCTCAGAGAGGGGCTGAGGCAGGCCCAGGTCACACAGCAAAGCTGGGTACTCTCTATAAAGGTATAAGTTGTGTGGGGCTTCTGGTCCCCAACCTCAGCCCTGCAAATACAGTTTGGACCACACTCCACTGCTGGCCCAACTAAGGACAAGAAAGCAGCCAGATCCCAGGAGCTGAATGTGAGGGCTCCTACTACTGGCCTGCCCAGGCTGGTGCTGTTGCTACCGTCTGTGCTGACATAAGGACGAGCTGTGGAAGTTTCTGGGGTTTTCCAAAATGTGGCAAAACTAATAATTAGAAGGCCCGTTTCCCATCCAATAAATACAGAGTTCCTAGTATGTGCCAGGATAAGCAGACCAGCAGGCCTTTGTCATGTTCTTGCTAGAGGTGACTCTTGGGAAATGACTTTATTCTTGGTGATAGTCTCTAGGATAATTGAAAATGGACCCCTTTAGCATTGTGGTTATTTCTGGCATTTTGGAGGCAGATATTCCCAAACGTTCTGCACACGTCTATCTTTGTAAACAGACTGCTGAACAGTTGGGCTTCTCTTGGTGGCCTGGGACCATCGGGAGCCACTTGTTTGTGGTGCTGTGCTGCCCCCAAAGAGTAGCCCCAACAACTCTGGTGCTGAGTTCTTGTATGTTTTCATAGGTTTCCCACGTCCCCCACCCCCACCCTCCTGCTGTCAGCAGTGGCTTTTCTCAGCCATCCATTCATCTCCGCCTCCATCAGCCTTTCTAGCCCCTTTCTGGGTTGTGGCTCTGAGCCTCTATGCAGAAACAGAGCTGTTAGAACTGTGTTTACCAGGGTAAGGATGAGGTCGAGTGGGGGCCTGAGGAACTCCCTAGGGCGTCCAGGGCTTGGGCCTCTTGCGTACACACGGGGACGTGGGTGTTTTTCTGCTGGGGGTGTGCATTTCCCCCAAGGTCACAGCTAAATTTGGTACAGCCACGGCCGGACAAGTGAAACGGGACAGGCTCTTCTGTGGCTCATTGTAGTCTATCAGCACTTGGTCTCTTTGACACATATGTCCCCTGAGACCAGGGACCCTCAGAGCCACAGTGAGAAGGCCCATCTTCCCGGCCATAGCACCTCAGACTTGTGTGTTTCCTTTCATGCTCCAGTAAGCACCTGATCCCTTTGCCAAAGGCCCTAAGAGGCATCCTGGAGCAGAGATGGAGACCCAGAGGCTTGTCTTGGGCATCTTGGGCAAGTCATTTCCCTCCCCGGGCCTCAGTCTCCCCATCTGTAAAATTGGCACGTTGGGCCAGATCAGCCTTTGAAAGACTGCTTGGTGGAGCCCAGGGTTTACAGAGGGGCCTCTGCTCGCCCGAGTCGGGCCTGGGCTATCTATTCTATATGCTGGGCTTCTGCCTGAGACTGTTTGAATACTGGGTTTACCGCTAAAAGCTTGGAGACCACAGCACCGGGCAGATCCTAACAGTTCTCACATTGCTGTAATTTCCAGACTTAGAGATCAGACTCTAGAAGAGCTGTCAGGAGGAAATTTCTGGCTCATCGCGCCAACTCCGTCTTGCCCACGTCCCCTTTGGATTTCAAGTTGAAAACAATACCCTTTCTGGTTTTTGCATTTTTTTAAAAGGATTTTTTAAATTGCAGTAAAATATACATCCATTAAGTTTACCATTTTAACCATTTTAAAGTGTACAGTTCAGGGGCAATAAGTACATTCACACTGTTGTGGAGCCATCCCACCGTCCACCCATCGTTTTCATCTTCCCAAGCTGACACTCTGTCCCCATTCCCCCACCCCCACCCCAACCCCAGCCCCTGGTACCCAGCATTCTCCTTTCTGTCTCTGAATTTTTCTACTCTAGACACCTCATAAACGTGGAATCATAGAGTATTTGTCCTTTCCTGGCTGGCATCACTCAGCATAATGTCCTCCAGGTTCTCCAGGTTCATCCATGTTGGGCGTGGTGTCAGAATTCCCTTCTTTTTTTAGGCTGAATAATATTCCATGGTGTGTATATGCCACAGTTTGTGTATCCATTCATCCACGGATGAACATTTCCATTGCTTCCACCTTTTGGCTGTTGTAAATAATGCTGCCACAAACATGGGTGTGCAGATCTTTTCTGTTTGTTTTTTTTTAAAAAGCAGCCAGTGTGGAAAGACGATAGTGGTAAATTTTCAGGGTAAGTGAAAACTTGTCCCTTTAATGCTGTCACATTATGTGGCGGGAAGAAAGGAACCTTTCAAGGTAGGATTCATGGGGATGGGGGCAGGATTGCCCCTCCTCCACCCGGACAGCGAGCACAAGGCAGGTTTAGCCAAGGTCAGTGTACGTGCTCACCTGAACTTTATTCAAGAGGCCACACTGTTAGGCCAAGAGGGAGTCTGGCCATGTGCACATGGCAACTGGTTCCTCAAATGTCACGTGGCGCTACTATTCAGACATTCCTCCCAGGTCTGCTTCCTCCCATCTGGTCCAAGCAGGTTGTTTAGCAAATGGAGGAACTGAACCTGAGGTGACAGAGAGGGTACTCAACAAGACTGTGGGTTTGGGTCCCCATCACCCACTGACCCAGAGCGCCACAGACAGCACTGGTCAGGGACTTAGGGCCTAGGCTCAGGTTCCAGCTCCGTCCTTCTCGTGGCCTCAGTTTTCCCACCTGCATAGTGAGGTCGGCACAGGTGATTGTAAGCCCTCCACCTCGGTGGTCAGGATTTCTCTGCAGAGGCATGGCTGCAGGGGAGCCACTGGTGAAGGTGGCATGTGTGTGCACACACGTACACGTGTGTGTGCGTGTGTGCACAGCTGCCCCTCCCCTGGCTCCCCTGTGGAAGGGAGGAAGGGATATTTGGGGCCCTGGGCTCCACCGTAGTCGGTTTAATTACAGGTTTTCAGCCGCGGGCCGGTGGGCACGTGTTGGGAAGGAGGGGGAACAGCTCCGAACCCTGTCATTTTCCAACGTCTGCAGGCCTCTTCAAAGGGGGGCATCCAGACATTTTCTCCACAAGCCGCAGAGTGGACTGTCGTGGCCCCAGCATGAACATAATGACAGATGCATTTTGCAGCAAGCTGGGAGTGAATGGGTCCAACCGGCTTGTCTCCTGTCAGACGAGTCATTATTATTTTTTTTTTGTCATTTGCTGACAGTTTGGGTTTCATGCGTTTCTCTCTTTTTTCTCCTTTTCCCCCTGCCTGGAAAAATGGCTAGGTATCTACGAGACCCCAGCGGGGACCATCCTTTACCACGCTCATTTAGACATCGAGGCCTTCACCATGGATCGGGAAGTGCGCAAAATCAAACAAGGCCTTGGCCTGAAATTCGCCGAGCTGGTGTACACTGGTGTGTAGGCGCCGCCCCCCGCTCCCTAACCAGCTGCACCCTCCCCAAGATCCACCCCTCCCAGGGCCAGAGCCCGAAAGATGCAGGTTGAATGGGGTCAAGTGGGGACAGGGGATGAGGAAGCGAGGAGGGTATACCAGGACCCACCCTGTTCCCAGGGTGTCAAGGGGAACACACCAGTCCCCCCAAGGGGCCCACTGCCCCCTCCACCTGTAATCTATAAGACTCCAGCATGGCCAAGGATGCATCATGGGTCGTCCCCAGGGCAACCAACCTTCATGCAGCACGCGCCAGTGCCAGGCACTGTGGGGACATGAGCGGTCCCAAGGGATCCTCCCAACTTTCCTAGGAAAGCCGCAGCCAGTTCCTTTTACAGATGAAGACACTCAACGTGGAAGGTGCTTATACAAAGTTACATAACAGGAGGTGGCATCGCTGGGTTTGACCCCAAGTCAGGTAGAACCTGGAGCTATAAGCAGGGGACAGGCTGCCATGGCCGAGAACTCAGCCCCACGCCTGGGCAGTGCATGAGCCAGACACGTGGCCAGCCCACGCATGGAACGGTTGGTGGGTGACCTTAGCACACAGTGTATGTGGCTCCCCATTTGGCACAGGAGACTGAGTTTCCAGGCCTTTCCTATTGTCACAGAGTTGGAATCCAGGCCTCCTGACTCCAAATCCATCCCTCACCTTGTCTAACAGGGGTCCCTAAATCTGGCCTATCATTCAGCCCGTGAGTGAAGACTAATTTTTATATATTTGAATGGTATGGGGAATTTTTTTTTTAAATACTATTTCATGACATATGAAAATTATAAGAATTGCGGTGCCCACAGATGGGTTGTTTGGGACACGATCATGCTCAATTCGTGTACATGTCATCTGTGGCTACTTCTAAGCTCCCAGAAGTCTAGTCATTTCGGAAGAGACAGCATGACCCACAGAGCCTAAAATACCATCTGGCCTTTCCAGAAAATGTTTGCTGGCCCTGCTTTCTAACATTTGTAGCTCCCTAATTTAAGAAATCACATCAAACAGCCTCTCCGAGCTGTTGGGGGGACAGGTTGCTCTCTGAGGCCGACCTTGACATCGGGGGCCTGGATGTCAGGGGGACCCGAGAAAGTTAGTGTTAATAATAACTCCCCGGGATAAGCCTCCACTTCCTTGTCCCCTTCTCCCCCACCGTGAGTTTCTGTTTCCTTTGGAACCTCCTAATCACAGTAACTCATTTTGGGATTTCGAGAGGACTCCTGGTTATTGGCTGGCGGTTATTTCTCCCTCCCACTGTTTCCGGCAGCTTTGAAGCCGAGTCCCCCCTTCCCAGGTACAGACAGGTGTTAAAATACCATTGTCTCCTGCGGGCTCTCTTGCTCCACGGGGTTTCAATGCTGAAAGGTGGATTTTGGTTACAAAGTAGGAGAGTCATTAAGACATGGCAGGCTGTGATGGAGGGGACAGCACCTGGCCAGGCTGCTCCTGCTCAGAGGTGTCTGCGGATGCAAGCCGGGGCAGGCAGCCAGCCTCCCTCCCGCGATAGAATGGCTGCCACCTCTCCTGCTGTGGGGCCCTGAACTGGGCACTGGCTGGTGTTACCTAATCTCAGCTGCACAGAGGTGAGGAAATTGAGCCCCAGGCAGGTGAAGACACTTGTCCAAGTTATCGCGGCTGCCGAGCGGTGGCTGTGAGCCCAGGGCAGGCCTGCTTCCGAGGCCAAGTTCTTGGCCACTCCAGGAGGTCCAAGGGGAGGGGAAGGTGGTCTGGGCCATTAGCAAGGGGTGATCAAGGGCCTTGGCAGCATGCACAGGGGAGCCCCGGGTGTCGGAGGCACAGCTTGGACCCTGACTATGGGTCCAAGGTCCTCTACACTAAGCCACCGGGGTTGCCTCCTTGCTCTGTCTCCCACCGAGCCCTCTAAATGCAAAACTGAGTTACAGTGATGAGGAGGTTTCAAAGGAAATAAAACCTCAGGGTAAAGAAGGGAATGACGCGAGGGCAGTGAAGGCTTATCCTGCATAGTTACTATTAATATTCACTTTATCCAGGTGGCCCTGATGCCCAGGCCCCTGTAGATGTCAAGGTAGGCCTCCAGCCTGTGGTCCCTCAACAGCTCAGAGGGACTGTTGGATGTGATTTCTCACATAAATGTTAGAGACCACAGGTTAGCTTGAGCCAAGTTACTTAGCCTCCCTGTGCCTCAGTTAGCTCATCTGAAGAGTGGGGATAATAAGCCTGCCTGTCTTGAAGTGAGGACTTAAGGCATGGATATTTATAAAGCATCTAGAACAGTGCCTGGCATGGGAGGCTATTCCAGCATGTGTTAAATAACTACAAATGCCTGGTGTGGTCTCCAAGCATGGAGGAAGGAGACTGAGGCCTCACCTTTGGCTGGGATTATGATCTTGGGTAGGTGTGTCTCCTCCCTGAGCCTCAGTTTCCCCTCCTGTAAGTAAAGGACACCAGGTCAGGTCTCTTCCCAGTTCTGTCTAGCTCCTCAGTGATGCAGCCCATCACTCTGCTGTGGCACCTGGCTTTCTCGGAGCCCCTGTGGTCCCGGGGCACAGATAGGACCACGGAGGCAAGGAAGCCTTTCTGCCTCGGCCCCAGTCCTAGATGCCCTGGTTACTGCAACCTCTGTCCCTTCATTCCCAAATTTCCTGGTCTGCCTGTATGGGGTTTGCACAGGCGGCCTCCGTCCAGGTGCAGCCTCTATCCTGAGAGACCCTGCCCCCACCCCACAAGGTCGTTCTGGCAGGACCCCAGCTTCAGGGCCCATCTCATTTAGCAGGCACAGCTCACCAGCTCTCCCCTTGCCTCAGTTTCTTCAGCAGTTAAATGGGTGTAATGTACAATTCACACAGAGGGCTGTCATCCCCATTAGGACAGTGTTTGGCCCAGCCCCAGGCTCCACCCACAGCATATCCACAGGCCTGGGACTCGCAGGGTCTCCCCCATGCAGCACGGGAAGCTCACTGTCCACCATCCCAGGCTGGATCTGCTTGGAAAAGAAATCTGAGCTCCAGACCCCAGTGGGATGGAGGTGGGAGATCCTGAGATAAAGCCCAGGCCAGGTGCTCCCACAGGGGTCGATGTCCCCCTATCTCTGGCTCCATCTACTGCCTGTCTACTAGCCTGGGAACTTAATGATATAATTACCCCTGCTTAGTCAGAAAGATGGCCAAACCCAGGACAAGGGGCATGGTGGGGGGTGGGGGCCATCAGAGTCCCCGCCCACGGGGGTCTGGAGGAGCACTCAGTGGGACCTGTGCACTTCAGGATCTCGTGTGTGGCTTTGGACAGGCTCTTGCCATTCTGGGTATCTGTCTCCCTGGATACCGTGAGGCCTGGTGGAGGCCACGTTCAAATCTCAAATGCAAAATGCTCAGAGCTTAGCCTGCCTCCTCATTGAATGCACACGACCCCCTGGTGAGTGGTTAGTATATTATCTCATTGTGTAAATGAGGAACTGAGGCACCAAGAGGCTGCTTGTCCAGGTGGAGCTGGGATGTGAACCCACAGGGCAGGTCACTGGAGAGCGAGAACCCAACCTCTTTTCTCCCTGCCTGGCCCTCCCCCACCTCTGCAAGCCGCCGGCCCCCACCCCAGAGGTCTGCTCCCCTTTCCCACGGAGAGCCTCAGCAGGTGCCTCTAGAGGCCCAGGCCTCCGACAATAGCCACAGACCCGGGGCTGACCCGGCCCTTTATCAGGGCAGGAGATCACAAGCCATCTGGCCCCGCAGCTGCCCAGGTGGGCTCACCTTCCCAGCTCCATTTCAGAGAAACCCTACCCCTTGTGCTGCCCTGTCCCTCCCCCAACTCCGGCCAGCCCGCCTGTCGGCCCCTCAGCAGAGACTAGAATGGAGCAGGCTGTCCACAGGTCTGAGCCTGCCAGTGCTGGGGACTGAACACACAGCCCTCCCTGGCCTTAGGGCTCAGGGGCCAGGGCATGGGGAACAGGGGGGTACCCCATTTGTCAGGCACCTCCTGCACCGATGGGACATTCCAGACACGGGAAAGCTCCAAGGTGATCATGGGAAGCAGAGTCGTTTCCACTTGGGCCAGCTGAAGACCCAGGCCCCCCACTGCAGCCTGTGATCTTGGAGAAGTTGCTCAACTTTTCTGAGCCTCACTTTCTCACCCAGAAAAGCTGCCTTCGTAAAACTGAGCTCCCTGTGGGCAAAGGACAGGGTCCCTTTACCACTGTGTCTCTAGCGCTGACCCATGGTGCTCCCTGAATGTCTGTGGCCTGAAGCAGTGGGTTAACACCCCTCCTCCTGACCCTTGGGGGGTGACTGCAGGGCAGGGACAAGGGAGGGCACCTCCTTACCCACAGGAGCCCTCTAGGTCACAGGAGGGGGCCCTCAATCTTGTTCCTTGATGTGGCCGTTTACAAGTGCGCATGGTGCCAGAACTCAGCAGTGAACAAGGCAGCCCCAGGCCATGATGGGGTGTACCACTGGTGCCCTTCCTGAACCCCAGTCCCCCCAACGCCCTGGCTCGAGGCCGGCAGCGTGGTGGCCTGTCTAGGTCTCTTACTTTTTCCTCTCCACAGGGTTCTGGCACAGCCCTGAGTGTGAATATGTCCGCTACTGCATCGCCAAGTCGCAGGAGCACGTGGAAGGGAAGGTGAAGGTGTCTGTCTTCAAGGGCCAGGTGTACATCCTTGGCCGGGAGTCCCCACTGTCCCTCTACAATGAGGAGCTGGTGAGGTAGGTGCCCCCACACCTGTCTCACTGCTGCCACATGCCCTCATGTGTCCAGTGTCCCTTATGACTGGCTTTCTCAACAGAGATGTGCCTGAGCACATGTCGGGTGCTTTGCAGAGCATGGGGATTGGGGGGGAAGGTCAGGAAGAGGGTTGACACCACCTCTGCCTTTGTAGAACTTGCAGGTAGATGAGGAGAAAGGCACCCATCACACAATCACCTGAATGGAGAATTAGGAAGGGTGACACCGGGTTGTGAGGAGGTACAGGATACTCGGGCTGGGTATAATAATTGGGGTGTGGAGAAGCTTCCCTGAGGAAGTCATCTTTGAGATGATCCCCAAAAGATAAGAGTATGTCATGTGCAGAGGCTCTGAGCCTTGTAAGAATCCAGAACATCCCAGGCGCTACAAGAACTCGAGGGGCAAGGGGCCAGAGTGTGAGGGTTCCGGAGCCAGAGCTTAAAGGGAAGGACATGATTGGACCTGTGTGTTTCAAAGGTTTTTCTGGCTGCTCTGGAGAATGGATTTAAGCAAGGTGGGAGCTGGCAAGGGTGGAAACAAGGGCTCCCTGGGGACATGTTGGTGGCTTGAACCGGGTTGACAGTTCTGGGAATACAGACGCAGATGGATTTGGCAAATATTTAGGAGGTGGACTGAAAAGGGCTTGGATGTACGGGGAGATAGAAAGGTCCAGAATCACCCTGGGTTTTTTTGGCCTGAGTAGCTAGGTACACTTTGGTGGCAATTACTGAGCTGAGGGAATGTTCTTGAGGTGAGATCATGCTCTTGAGGTTGGGATTTCTTTGAGGTAGGCGAGGAGAACTCTCTCATTGGGCACGGGTTTAGCGTTGAGGAGAACATGGGTTGAGGACATTGGACAGTGGTAGACATCTCAATGTTTTCTGAAATCAAGAGGAGACTGTAGGGGAGAGTCAGTGAGATGAGAAGAGAGCCAAAAATGGGGACCTTTATTGGCTTCCTCACTAATGGGCCAGGCCAAGTCACTGAGAAGGATGCGAGGAGAATAGGAGAGACCTGGTGGGCTGGGTCAGAGGTAGCAGTTGCCTATTAGCTGTGCCTGTGTCTTCATCGTGAATGAGAGATGGCCTTGACCAAGGAGCAAGGCATCTCTTTGGAGGTCACCTGGCCAAACAAGAGGTGGGGAACAGACCCCTGTGGGACAGACAGCCACAACGAACTCAAGTTCCAGGCTGAGGCCAGCTCTCCCCTCCTGGAGGCCAGTTGAGAATTAAAGTACAAGTTTTGTTTGGCAGTCAATATTATTTTTCTCTTTGCCATGTTGAGTTTCTCCCCACTTCAATCTTTCTAAACACTTTATAAGCCATAAATATAACCGAATCCGTTTAGATCAGTCGGGGTAAATGTCAAATTATCTTCTCTCTTTCTCTCTCTGGCTCTTTTTTCCCTCCCCCTCCAAATCAACAGCCTCTAATAATCTGCCCAACCCTTCATTAAGCCTTACAGTCTCACTCGGGGAGATTAAATGAATAAAGTAAAAAGGGAAAGGGGAAAAAAAGAGAGAAAAGCAGGAGCATTTATTCTCACTGTGTCTCCGACCATTTCCCTTTTCTTTTTGATTTCTACATCGCTGACTTGAAAGCCCTTGAGTGACAGCGTCACAGGGACCAGCGAGGAAGCCGCGAGAGGTAGCAGAGCTGGAAATGCCGCGGCACAGTAGGTAGAAAGTAACGTAATTATAGAGCAGGTCAGAGCCACTCGAATGAACAAAAATAAAAGCACAGAGGTTTTCTGTAGACCGTCGGGGGAGGTAAAAAAAAAAATCATTGTAAACTCTTTTTCTACCCCACCCCCCCCCAACCCCAAACCAGTTTTAAAAAGGAGGTTTTTCAGTTCCTGAGAGACACCTCTGGAAACATTTCGGCAGCCTTGTGACACAGGTTTGTCCCTGAATGTGGGCCTCACCTTGCAGGGTCTGCTGGGGCCATCCGGAAGGGCCCATTTGGGGAAGGGGTGGGGGAGTTTGTTTTGACATGTGAGAGATGGAGGAGGAAGGACAGATGAACAGGCAGGAAGGGGCTCCTATCTTCTCCCCGAGCCCTTCCACAGGGGACCGGGTGATTCACACAGTGAGAGAGTAGCAGGTGTCCTTCGCTGGTTCACGGTCTGTGTGTACATGTAAGGGGGCCGTGTTAAGCTTGCTTTAGCACTCCTAACAAGGTCTGTAAAAGTGATTTGGTGCTTTAGTTTGGCCCGGTCTTTCCTCTGCCTGGTGAGGGCTCAAGTGGCAGCCCCTCTGAAGTCTGACATCTTGTCCCCTTACAGGGAACTTGTGGGTCAGCCGCTAGTGTCTTCACCTACCTGAGCGCTGGAGGGGCCAGTGAGGTGGCGAGGAGGGGAGGGAAGGGTGGGGGCGTGGGAGTACTGTGTGTCAGCTTCAAGGCCCCATGAAAGTCAGGGCGAGGGCATGGGGGGAGGGCAACAGCCCAAGACCTGAACAAGTGTTGGGGCAACTGGGTGTACAGACCCCATTTGTTGTTGTAAAAAGTCCACAATCCACAAAGAGCCAGTCAGAGGCATAGCCTCAGGGTAGCTGAAAAGCAGCAAATTCCCTCTGCCCTGCGCCGTCCGCAGTCTCACCTCTCTGGAGAAGGCTCCTAAGGGGACAGGCCACCTCCTTGTCATGGAGAACCTTGAAACTGCTATGTCCTGAGGCTGGAGTTTGGCAGCCATGAGGACAAGGGGCTGATTCAAGGCTGCACACAAGGAGGGGCCCGTGAGAAACAGGGGAGCAACCCCCCTCCATGCCAGGGGAGGCATGGAGGGTGGCCTTGTCAGATCTGAGACCACAGTGCCCTGAACTTGTCCACAGAGCTTATCACAGGCGTAATTAATGAAGGCAGATGGGTGATTGATTGCTTACGTCTGCTCCCCCCAGTGGGCGCTGTTCTTGTCTTGCTCTTGTTTCCTCAGCACCTGGCCAGTAGGAGGTATTTAATAAATACCCGAATGAATGAATGAATGAATGAATGATGTAATCGTGAGTCCTAAACACGTGCCAGGTTCCAGCTACTTCGTGTCACATGAAGCCTCATTTTGCAAGTGGAAGAACGAAGCTCAGACAGCAGGCAGGGCTATCAATTTGCCCTGAGCTCTGTCATGGTCGGGGTGGCACTAGGATGCACACCCGGGTGGCTAGACCTGAACAGCTGAGGCTGGGAAGGGTTTCAGAGGGCAGCTAAGTGACAGCACCCGAAAGATGAAGGCTGTTCAACATGAAAACCATAGATGGGGGGGAAATACCTGTTCCGTGGGTGCAGCTGCAGTTGACCGGCACTTTTCATGACCTGCTGACCTGGGGTGGGTGCCCGGGTTTGAGGAGAGATTAGACAGGGTCTCACTGGTTGGACAAGCAGGGTGAAAGGTGACACAGTGGGCAGACCTTGCCATGAATGCTGGAGGCCCCTCTGCAGCTTGAAGGACAAAAATTGAGGCTGTTCCCATATGCGCCCCCTGGCCTCCCGGGCCTTCAGCCACTGGACATCATCAGCTGTTTCTGGTCACTCCTCGGAACCCCCACAGCCCCAGGGGCAGAGATGACTCGGATGTTTGTCCTCAGTTTACCTATGCGGTACTCTGGTCATAGGAAGATATCACCCGGCGAGCACTGGCTGGGCTGAAGCCTGACGTGCCTATCTGTGCAGCTGCCGTTCCTGGCCCCAGAGGTCCCTCGGGTGCCAAGGGCAAGGCCCAGGGTGCTAACCAGCTTCCACTCCCTCCTTGCAGCATGAACGTGCAGGGCGATTACGAGCCAATCGATGCCACTGGTTTCATCAACATCAATGCCTTGAGGTGAGAAGCTCTGGGCCCCGGCGGGCCCTCAGGCCCCCCAGGTTAGGGGAGCAGACTCTGCTGGGAGTTCGACCGCTGACTGCCGTCCTGCCCTAGACAAGGCCCACCTTCCCGTCTCCCCGCCCATGGCATCCTCACTGCCTGCTTTGGACCCAGCCTGCTCCCATTCTCAGTGGAGCCAGAAGGCACACTTGTGACAGCCAAAAAGATCTTGGCCCCTGGGGCTCTAGGTTCTGGGGTCCTGCCCTTAGCCTCTGACATTCACTGCCCCCCTCTCCAGCTGCAGGGACTCAAGTAGGAGCCCCTTTCTGAGCAAGTTAGAAAAGGAAATGGTGGAGAGGTAGAAAGGCACCCCAGATGATCACCTGGCTAGCTCCCACCTTCATATCACCATACCTGAGCTGCAGGTCTAGCTAAAAACCATCCTAGCCACGTGGATCTCCATGGCCCATTGGGGTGGCGCATAGCTGAAGCCACTCAGACCTGGGTTCATATCCTGACTCTACAGTGTGGTCTCAGACCTCTTCCAAACACCTGGGAATCCCACGTGGGGCTGTTAACCGTGCCTGCCTCACAGGTACAGGGAAAATTTGGTATGAGTTTGTGGAAATCAAGCACATGGCCCAGACCCTGGCATGCAGGTAGAGCACAGTGCCTGGTGGCAGGTGCTCAGCCTGGGCATGGCCCTGGGGCTGGCATGCACAAGGGCAAACGGTCATTTATGCCAGCAGCTACTGTAAACTAAGCCATTCCCAGGTATCTCCTAGGTTGTCTCATTGCATTCTTACACAAATTTTCAACTCCAAAAACAGACCCAGAGTGTTCAAGTAACCTGCCCCCGGTCATATAGCTAGGAAGCCGCAGAGCGAGTCCAGAAGGGCTGTCTGTCCAGGGCTGGGTCTTCATTACCAACTTCTTTCTCATGGGGCTTGGGGTTGGGAAGAAGGCACAACTCTCTCTCCTCTCCCTGACACTTGCCCTGGGCACACAGCCACCATTTTCCCCCAGAGCCAGTTTCTTGTCCCTGGGCACCCTCCCCTCCAACAGTCACCTCCACCTCCCGGCCCACCTCCTCTCTCTGTTTGTATTGTATGACTATAAACCCTTTTAAATGACTCCAAACACACTGAGTTTTCATAATGGCCTCTTCATTTCTCCCATTGCCAGTTAAATGCTTTGTCTTCAACAATGACAAGCAATGTTTTCCCCCTAAGATAAATTAATTACATTATCCTGATTGGAGAGCAGGAGGGGCCAGGGCGGGAGAGGGAATAGAGGCAGAAAGAAAGACAACTTCACACACATCTTAACAAACAGCTGCCCCGCCACCCCAGCTCTGCCTGAATTAATTGAACTGACTGCATGTTGTTATTGTTAATTTACATTTTTCTTTGTTTTGATTCTGGTTTACAGGCTGAAGGAATATCATCGTCTCCAGAGCAAGGTCACTGGAAAATAGACCAGCTGACAATGAGGAGCTGGGCCTCCTCACTTTGCCCATCTCCAAGTACAGGCGCTAATTGTCGTGATAATTTGTAATTGTGACTTGTTCTCCGGGGCGGGGCTGGTAGCGTAGTGGGGGTGCCAGGCCCCAGCTTTGTTCCCTGCTCCCCTGTAGCCTGCAAAAGTGGTCAGGGAAGGGAAGGGTGGGGGGTGGATACAGTGGGGAGCTATAAAATGACAATTAAAAAAAAAGACACATTAGTCTTTGGTTTCTTTATTTCTGCGGAGACAGGGGTAAGAGTATGTGAGTGTGTGTGAGTGTGTGTGTGTGTGTGTGTGTGTGTGTGTGTGTGTGTGTGTGTGTGTGTAGTCAATCGTGCTTTTCTTAGACCAACCTTTGTGTTTCCTGGTTTAAGTGCTCCCGAAGGCCACCTTTTGCCAGATAATCTGTTTATCTGGAAGAATCGACCCCTCTCTCCTCCAGCAAAAAAATAGGGAATCCACAGTACCCAGCTGGGTCCAACCCTAGAGCAGCAACCTGGCATTTGTCACCAACTGTGACCCAGTGACATGTACGAGGGAGACCAAGGAGTGTGTAGGTGGCATACTTGGGAGCTGTCCTGCCTGCAGCTCACAGTGAACTAATGGTGGCCTTGACTCACCACATGAGTCTTCCCTACCATGGCTGAGTGGCCTCAAGTAGCCTAATTTATGGAGGAGAAAGAACCCCAAGTAAGGAGAGAAGCCCGCGCAGAGAGGAGAAAACAGCTGACACAGAATTTAGTGGGCACTTTGGATGTCCACCTAGCCTACACAGTTCCTCCATCACTCCTTCACAAAATTGGGCCCGAAGTAGCCATCTTTGTACTATGACACCACCAGAGCTGGGCCAATCAGAATCTCACTCCCAGGAATTACACCTGGAAAAATGGCCAGAAGTGAGGACAAGTAAACGTAGGCATGGTGGGGTGCCCTGTGCCTAGAAAAGCAGAAAGGAAGAAGAAAGAAGCAAGAGGCAAGAGGGGGACTAGGGTTTAGAATCCCAGTTCCCATCCTGGCATGTGTCATGGAAGCTGGAGGCATTTCTTAACCTGGACTCTGAGACAGCCTGGTGTTCTCATAACCAATTACCTTAAGCTTAAGGGCTTAAGCTTGGTGAGAGAGTTACTGCTACTTGCAACCCAAAGCATCTTGACTGCAAAAACTTGAGTGCTGGTTGCCCTGGGCCCTACCCTGGTTCTGACCCAATCCACTGCCTTTGCCAATGAGCATTCCTTTCCAAAGTTTTGTCTTTAAAACTTTTTTCTCTGATTATAAAAGTTATAAATGAATTACTCAATGAATATTAGCTTTGTGTCAGACACTTGGCTACACACTTTATTCAAACTATCTCATTGAATCTTTAAAACAATACTGTGAGGTAAATGCTTTTATCTCCATTTTGTAGGGGAGGCAACTGCGATGCAGAGAAATTGATTGACCAGCGTTCACTCAGCTAACAAGTGACAGAGCCCAGGACCAAACCCTGTCCTGGCTGACCCCAAAATCTCATGTGTTTATGTCCTTAAGCATTGCAATAGGCTGCATCTTTCTTTAAAAATAACAATCCTGTAGAAACAACTATCCACCCATCATTTCACCACCCAGTTACACTGTTTGTACTTAGTGTATTTCTTTTCAGTCGTATTTTTCTATACTTACAAATATTTTTGCAGAGTTCTTAGGTTAAACTAATTTAAAAGCAGGTATCATACCCTACTCTTAAATTTTTTAACATCATAAACAGTTTCCTACATTATTAAAATTTCTTCTTAAACTCTTTCAACAACTATATAATATTCCACTATGTTGCTACCCCCTTACTTAACCTTTCCCCACTCATAGATTTCATTTTTTCCACATTCTAAATTATTTTCCTGCCTTTTGTCTGATTTAGTTATTTTTAGTAGTTGGTTTATTAGCTATCCTTTTTGCCTTTTTAGTGGTTTCTCTAGGATTTATAATATATACCTTTAGCTTACCACAGTCTACCTTTAATTAATATACTACCTCGTATATAAGACTCTTATAACTGTACAATCTTAGACCTTTTCACTTTGTGTTTCTGTTGTCACATATATTACTTCTACAAAACCCCACAACACACTGCTATTATTTTTGCTTTAGATACTCAAGTATCATTTTTAAAAGATTAAAAGTAAGAAAGGGATGTGTTTTATCCTTGTACAGGATTGGTAATGTCTCTTTCCTAAATGTTTGATAGAATTCGCCATGGAAGTTGACCCCAATTCAGAGTCCCCCCTGCTCTGGAAGCCCAAGGAATATGCCTAGAGACTCAGCAGCCATTACAACCCAGTCTCGTGTTACAACTCGGTACCTGCCTTCACTCATGTCCTTGTCACTCCTGTCACGTCACTCCAGCCACTACCCACAACATTGACATGCCATTGCCCCTGCTCTTAAGACCCCACTAACTGAGAAGTGGGTAGGAAACCACCACCTTAGGGGGTCTAGAGTAGGGTTGCTTTGACACCGAGATGTTAGAACTCTTAGCTTTTCATATACAGAGCCTCTCTCCATCCAGGCACTCAGGTGTGGCCAAATGATCTGGGTTGGTGACGGTTTCAACCAATAGCCCCTAGGTGCCACTAGAGCCACCTTGTCCTCCAGCTCTCGGATCCTATTGCAGACGTTAGCTCATCGGGACTGACTCTACCTTCTCTCCAGGTAGATTCCATCCTCGGGAGACCCTAACTAGAAGCTATAAGCCTTCCATGAAGTTGCCCCCAGGCCACCACGGAGGGTTGGAGATATCTATTATAAATCACGTCACTCCCAACATTGGAGATCTTTTTCTAGGCACGTTCTTAGCTCTCAAGTCAATCAGGAAATGCAAATAGATATCATGGTGTAAATACAGGTGTGGGTTATCTCCCGCCTACTGTTACCTGGGCTCAGCCAGAGTGGTACCGAAAATTACAAAAGCTTAGGAAAATAATTAGGAAAAAATTCATTTCTGAATCCAACATGTTAACCGAAACGTTTCAGCTAATACTTTTGCATGCTTCCTGCGCGTCATTTTTGCATATGCACCTTTGTTTCCATGCATGTACTGTAATCTGTTTACACTGTGTGCCCTCACATTTGTTTCATTTTTTTCACTTAACATAATAGCATAATTAATTTCCCACGTTGTTGATTGGTTTCATAATGAACTTGAATTGTATACTTAAAATGGGTGAATCTTGCAGGACACGTAAATTACATCTTAATAAAGCCGTTTACGATAAATAAATGTTTTTTAATGTAAGCATGGAAAAAAAGATGTCCAGTGTTAAATAGAGAATTGAGGAGTATGGACCAGGAAATCGCTGGGCTGGAGCAAGGCTGGGGTGCGGGGTGGAGAAGGCATCCAGCCAGAGTGGAGCAAAGGATTCTCTCAGGGCAACTGCGGGCAGGCAGGTGGGAAGGGGGGGTGGGGCAGCTAGGGGCCAGACTTAGGCTAAATCCTGGCTACTTCCCCGTCACTGTGAGAACTTGGGCGAGGACTTCACCCCCCTGAGCTTGAGTATCTCCATTTGTAGGATGGAACCTTCATGAATATTGGGGGACCCGCGGAGGCACATGTGGGCCACCAGAGACAGCCAGCTCCCAGTCACTGCTCCACGACGTGAGAGGCACTGCACATCACAGAAACTGGTCAAGGCAAGTCAAAACAGCCTCCACGTGCGCCCTGCGTGGACAGTTCAGAAGACTCTTCCCCTCCCTTAGGCCATGGGAGCCTCACAACCATCATGGTGAAGGAGGGACGGGGAGGAAGAACCCTCCTGTACAGGTGACGCTACGCAGACCTGAGCTGTCTTCTTGCCTCTGCCTAACTGGTGACCTGGGATGACTTCCTTAGTATTTATGATTGGCCTCCAGGTCCTCAACTATAAAACCAGGATAATAATGGTGTCCACCTCGCAGGGGCCCTTCATTCTACCGCCGCTGTGGGCCTCAGAGCTCCTGGCTTCCGACCATGGTTGTCAGCCTGTATAACATGCCTGCAAGGGAACAGTGCTTCCTTGATGTAAGTTTGTCCTGTGTGACAATTCGATTTTTTGTTATAAAGTTATAATTTGGCGATTGGGTGTATTTTATTATTGGCAGCCCTGTCCCTGCGCTGATGAGTCCTGGGCCATGACAAGGGCCACTTTCTTGGCCCTCAAGGTTGGGGTCCACATTCTCCAGCGTTCCCTAAGTGCCCAGACATTCCTGGGATGGGTTCCATCTACCTTCCGGACTACAGGCACCCCGAGAGCAGTGGCTGTGTCTGCTGTGCCCACCGCTGTATCACCTGGCACTCAGCACAGGGCTTGGCAGGTAAGAGGCTATCAAGGAAATCATGTTGAATGAATGAATAAACCCTCTCATCCCAGCTTGGTTATCATTTTATTACGATTCCTAAATCCCCCTTCTTCCCCAGCTCCTGGCTGGGTGATGCAGGGCTTCTTATGTCTGGGGTGGGGTCCTGAGAAGTCGGGCACTGGGAGGCTGGACCTCAGCAGGACAGGCTGAGCAAGTTATGCCAGGCCCCTCTGGCTTTCTGGGCCTGGGGAGATGAGGAGGGGTCCCAGCCACCAGCCGGCCAACATGGCCCTTCTGTCCAGGCCCCTCCTGCCTCCTTGGAAGAAGCAGACGATGGAGTGGGTTTTTGTGGAGGCACAAAACACATACACACAAACATGCATGTACATATGTACACATACACGCACACGCATACACACGTATGCACACAATGTGGACACATAAATCTCAGGTAGTCAGCTGGATGAATTTCCCCGTGTAGCCTCTCTCTGTGTAACCACCACTCAAATGAAGACAGGAACCTTTCCAGCGCCCCAGGAGCCTGGCTCCCCGGTGCCTTGGTGAGACTGTTTGAAATCATAGGGTTAAAAGGAGAAGGAAAATGCCTTTCTTCTTTTAAAAAATTGATGGGGGCATGTTGGGCAAATAAGAAAGCTCAAAGCCACCTGGGCTGCCTCCGTCACAGCGCTAATGGCAGGGGCCAGCAAGGGCGTCTTGCTTGTCTGATGAGAGCTCTGGGCTGTGCCTGGTTCCTGAGCTGAGCGAGGAATGAGTGAATGAATGAAGGAGGCTGCACCTGCTTCTGCTCGCTCACTCAGCTGATTTCTAAGAGGGCATTCCGGCTTACACGTGGGCGGTGAGCACAGCCTCTTGCGGTGGCTGGGGGAGGCATGGCACCGTGGGCAGGGAGG